GTACTGCTGGAACCCCGTATGATGCACGCGTCAGCCTGCGGAGCACGTTGCTCCTAATAGTGGTTGACTTCCAGAGTAATCGAAACAGTTTCAGAATGGGAGACGACAGCCTGACTGATGCAGATGTTGAGGAAGCGTGCAAAGTTGCGAACGCTTTAGGATTTATCAACCATCTCAGTGAGGTATGGTATATCAAGAAGTATTATTTGGTTGTTTGTTTCTTGATTGCATAATTTTTCATTCAGGGCTTCAATACCGTAATCGGTGAGGGTGCTGTGCAGCTATCAGGCGGTCAGAAACAACGAATCGCTATCGCCAGAGCTCTCGTCAGAAACCCTCAGATTTTGCTTCTGGACGAAGCAACCAGTGCCCTGGACACAGAAAGCGAGCATGCAGTGCAAGAAAGCGCTCGACAAGGTTCACGATTGACAAGCTGGATACTAAATATTGTTTCGAAGAAAAAGTTTGTTTCGAATTTCTTGCCAATCCATAATGAAAAAATCGTCTGAAGTTACTCAGTAGGCAATTTTAGGCACGCGAAAACCGAACTACCATATGCATTAGCCCATCGGCTGTCAACTATCAGAGATGCCGACAAAATTATTGTATTCGACGAGGGACACGTTGTCGAGCAAGGTAAGAGCTCAACTTCGGTCAGAAATAGCGGTTATTCAGAATATTTCAAAAATCATTAAAATTTTCCAACACTTTTCCCTAGAATTTTGTTCCCCCATCTACGACAATTGCTTCACAAAGTCATAATTAGTGGAAATATGACCCCCCCCACTCAATCATCTGGTATTGAGGACGACTGCCCGGTGCGTCCACTTCCTCATAGCCTTGGTCTCGTTCCACCTCGTTCAATGTCGAGAGACATGCTTAGTACATCTTCCACATCATCGTTCTTCCACACCACCACAGTGAGCCACGATCGAGAATCAACATAGTCGAATATGTGCCTTGTGGGAGAAGAGCAGGTCGTGTTTGAGACTTTGGGGTGACGTAAATGGGAGGAATGGGACATAGGTGGAAAATCAAATGGAAGACTCGTCTTTCACGTTTCACAAGAATGCTGGGTTGTGAACAAAACTTTCGCCCCAGGCGGGACTCGAACCCGCACCTCTCGCTTTCCGGGCAAGTGCGCTACCAGTTACGCTACCGGGGCACCATTTCATCCAACTCAGCTTTTCATGGTATACGTACCATAGCTTGTCAGCACTCACACGTATAACGTGTTGAGCCGGTTAGCCGATAGCGTAACTGGTAGCGCACTTGCCCGGAAAGCGAGAGGTGCGGGTTCTAGTCCCGCCTGGGGCGAAAGTTTTGTTCACAACCCAGCATTCTTGTGAAACATTCGCAAGGCGAACTGCGGCCAAAAACAGCAGTTAACAAACAAAAACAAGTCCCCTTTTAGCCTATATGCTCTACTCTAATTTGGAAAGCTGAGCGCCGGAGTTGTGGAGTATCAGGGTGGAACAACTTTCGGTGACAGTATTCATCATTGACTGTAGTGAATCACAGTGATCGTAGTCAGGGGAAAAGAGTTTGTATATTATAAGAGTGAAAGGTAGTATTGCCACGGGCATTTTTGACGCGGTATTTACCCTAATCGCCACCAGGGAGATCACCTGGTGGACAATTAATGAATGATATGATCAACTCGAGGAGTTAACCGAAAAGTTCTCTCTGCTTGCAGGACTAGACTTATGGTTAGAGAGAAGCAACGCCTAGACGATGCATTTTTTAGAAAGTCATCCTCATTCGAAGTGGAGACGGCCCTTTGTAAAATGATGAGAATTTGTAACATGTATCTACCTCCTTCCAGGTACACATGACGAATTGATGTCAGTTGAGGGCGGTGTGTACCAGGGCATGGTAAAAGCACAGGCGATTGATAAAGGCGAAGAGGACACCACGCTTGATGGTGAGTGCGCGTGTATAGGATGGACTGGCCGAATTGTAGGTCAGCCTGACGTGACTTTCCGAAAACTCCTCTGAATCGTCAAAAGACGCTCATTTTGTGGTTTAGATATAAATCCCACGGAAATTCGACGAGGTGTGTCGCGCGTAGGGATCAGACGACGACACGAACCGTGCAGAAAGGGCCAGAGAATCGGCACGTCTTCGTCAAAGTATGATCAGCACTTCGTCACAGGAACCAGATTGGGAG